GTGCGTGTGTGTGTTTCTGAAACATCTTCAAGGTCTCGGCTGAGGAATAAATCCCCGCAGGACGAGTTTGGGGCCGGAGATCGTCCAGAACACACAGGTGAGCACCACTCTGCACACACACACACACACACACACTTCACTTCACTTACTTTCTAGAGTCAGAACAGAGTGTTTCTGCAAGTAACGGAAGATTAGCTGATTTAAGGTGCGCGTGTGGTTTTAATCTTTAGCTTTGGACTGATGTTGCTCAGGAGTTTAATATTATAATCTACGCTGTTAAAAAGTTAGTCAAATTAAACTTGGGAACATTTTTATTTGACAAAAGATTATTATTTTACAGTAAAAACTTATTTAAGAAACCTAAAGCAGTTCCTCTACTCTGCATCGCTACTCAAAGCACGGCTGTTTGAAAGGTTTACATTACTTGTATTCATATTTTTATGTTAATTATTTTCTTAATAACATATTTTTATTTCTTTAAAAGTTTTAAAATGTTGTTTTATTATAATATTTAACATTTTTATTTATAGTATTTTTAAATTCAAAGCTTTATTTTGGAGATCTGTTGGGAATCGCTGCAAAAAAAATCTGAATATTTGCTTTTTTACAGCTTGGTGTTGATTATTTTTAGAACAAAACATTTTTATTTCTTTATAAAATTTAGTTTTTGTTTTTTTGAAAACTTTATTTGGAAATCTCGAAAAATACTATTATATATTTCACAATGATAATAGCATTTAAAACAAGACTTAAAATATGTACAGTTGAAGTCAGAATTATTAGCGCCCCTGTTTATTTTTTCCCCAATTTCTGTTTAACGGAGATCAGATTTTTTTCAGCACATTTCTAATCATAATAGTTTTAATAACTCATCTCTAATAACTGATTTATTTTCTCTTCTCCATGATGACAGTAAATGATGTTAGACTAAATATTTTTTAAGACACTTCTATACAGCTTAAAGTGACATTTAAAGGCTTCACTAGGGTAATTAGGGTAACTAGGCAGGTTAGGGGAATTAGGCAAGTTATTGTATAATGATGGTGTGTTCTGTAGACTATCAGGAAAAAAAATGCTTAAAGGGGCTAATAATATTGACCTTAAAATGGTGTTTAAAAAATAAAAACTGCTTTTATTCTAGTCGAAATAAAACAAATAAGACTTTCTCCAGAAGAACAAATATTATCAGACATACTGTGACTTTTAACCTACAAAATATACTTTAAACCTTTTCTAGTCATTTAAAATGTTCTTTGCATAAATCAATAATTTTTAAAAGTGTTTTCCATATGTTTGTGTTTTGATAATTCATTAAAAATCTAAAGTAGAAAGTAAAATAAATATAACGTATATATTATATGCAAATATAGTGGCTTTCAACCTACAAAATGCTCTTAAATGATTTTCTAGACTAATACAATCTTTTTACACTGAGAATAAAAGCTATTTTGGAAACCAGTGCATCTTTGTCAATAATATTAGATATTTTATTACAAATCTATAAAATTAAAAGTAGACATGAGTATAATTTAGTGGAGCTGATGATTCCATGAGGGACTTTTAACCTACAAAATATTCTTAGAAGTTTTTCTACACATTTTAAATGTTTTATAAATAAATCAATAGTTTAATTAAACAGTGTTTTCCATATGTCTTTGTATTGATAATTAATTAAAAATCTAAAGTACAAATTAAAATAAATATTAAAAGAGTGTATGATAGTGTATTATAGTGGCACTGATTATTCCACCAGGGACTTTTAACTTACAAAATACTCTTAAATGTTTTTATAGACATTTAAAATGTTTTACACATAGGAAAAAATAGATATTTACTAATCTAATTACTAATCTATAACGTTAAAAGTAAATATGCATATAATTTAGTGGCACTGATGATTCCATGAAGGACTTTTAACCTACAAAATACTCCTAAAAGTTTTTTTCTAGACATTTAAAATGATCTTTAAACTAATCAACTATTTTTAACAGTGTTTTCCAGACATGTGTGTTTTGATAATTAATTAAAAATGTAAAGCAGTAAATAAAATAAATAATAAAAGAGTGTATTACATGTATTTTAGTGGCACTGATGAGGGACTTTTAACTTACAAAATACTCTTAAACGTTTTTCTAGACATTTAAATAGTTTTTACACTGTGAAAAAAAACTATTTAGGAAACCAGAGATGCATCTTTGTGAATGATATTTGAAATTTTATTATAAATCTATTACATTAAAAGTAGATATAAACATCTTTTAGTGGCACTGATGATTCCATGAGAGACTTTTAACCTACAAAATCATCATCAAACTTTTACAAGACTTTTAACATGTTTTTACACTGAGAATAAAAGCTATTTTGGAAGGCATCATTGTGAAATTGTTCATTTTTTAGCACTGTTTTCCAAACTTCTGCCTGAGTTTTGACATTTGTTGTTGTTTTTCTCTGTTTTTCTCTGAGGTTTCCGTCTCTCCGTCTGACTCCACTCGCTGTTCCTTTTTCCTATGCATATACCTCTTTGACATGCTGCTTTAAAGAGGCATAGGGCATGGGAAAATGGGGCGGCAGAGGTTTTCCACCTGAAGATATCCAGCCTGACGACATTCATTAAAATTAATGATCCTCACTGCCTCCCAAAATGTGTTTAATCTTCAGTTTTAGATGCAAAATAAAAGTCCCTGTGAGACGCACTGGTGTGTTTAATTGAATAAAGTGGGCTGGAAGATGTTCAAGTGTGTTTGGCCTTCATTCTCGCTTTGCTTTGCATGATTACAGGCGTCTTTTATTCACTCGCAACTAAATAAAAAGACCATTCTCTCTGCTCTCAGATGATTAAATATGCATTACCTGAGAATCACGCAGAGAGAAATAAAGAAATGTGAGAATATGACATTATAAATGCTGCTCACAACTGTGGCTTTCTACATGTAAACTAGTTATTTTAAAGCTATAAATAATACATGCATAACACACTGTAATAAAATATAAATGCATGTTTTTAATGATAATATAATGGAAATAATAAAGTTTTTTAACACAAACTATATCATATATTGGTCAAAAATGGTGTTTAGGGCAGTGATATGGTAAAATAATGAGATTTAATTTAATAAATAAAGAATAATCGGGGGATAATGTTGTTTCTGATACAAAAAATAAATACAACAAGGTAAAATAATATAAATAAAAAAATGTTAAATACCTCATAAATGAGTCAAACTTGTGCTTATGAGACTTAAAAATGTGTTTTTGTATCATTCAGGGCAATTTCAGTGAATCATAATTCAAATATAATATTAGTCAACGGTCTTTATAACAAATTGCTCATTTGCATAAACGCATATGCAATAATATATTAAATAATATTTAAAAGTCATTGCAATAAGCAAGCACAAACATGCATTGTTCAAGATGGTGTTTTTAGCAAAGAGATTGTTACAAAAATGAAAATTAATTTAGTAATGAAAAATAATTTGGGGCTAATGATGTTTATGATACAAAAATGAAATTAAATAAAATATAATAAAATAAAATAAATCAAAATTAAATTAAATAAAAACACAAATTATATAATATATTATATACAAATATTTTATTTCCTATTGCAAAACTTTTTAAAATGCCTTATAAATGAGTCCAACTTGTGCTTATGAGATGTAAAAATGTGTATTTGTATCATTCAGGGCAATTTCAGTGAACCATAATTTAAATATAACATTGGTCGACAGTCTTTATAACAAATAGCTCATTTGCATAAATGTGTATTCACATAATAATATTAAAAAGTCATTGCAATACAATAAAAATTAAACATAATGCATTGAAATTAAAATAAATAAAGTCTATAAATTTTATTATTTTATAGTTTTTACAATTTTTAAAATAGTTTTT